ATCGTACATAATTAGTATGACTTTATAGATCTATAAATAATGCTACATTTGTCGTAAATCTGACATTTACTGCAACATAGTTAATGCCTGTTCTTTAATGAATTCATTTTTGATGAAAAGTATAATATATCGAACATTTAGATACAGTTAAAATAGATTTTATTAAATTCTTTGCAAATTTCAAGTTGTATTGTAAATATTTAACATGCTATATAATCATATATTTATCATACTGTATATAAATATACTTGTATATTCATCATATTGTATCAATATTCAAACACACTAAGAATTAAACTAAAAGATATTTAAAAGAAAGTTATAGTAGTAAACAAATGACAATATAATTCTTATTAATAATAGTAATCAGTTAATTTAAAAATAAATTATGCAAAATCCACGCCATGTATACTCGGATATCAATATATAGAATTATTGTAGTTATTTTCTTTATTAATTTCGTTACTTTTATATAATTTATCAGTTTATTTATTTATTATTATTTACTATTTATATTTAATTTATTATTTTATTTCAATCTTGTCTTTCAAAATATGTAATGCTATCAAGTATTTCATCAAATTCATATCTGATTGTGAGTGATAAAGCTTTTTAATTTAAAAATTTTATCGTTTTGCAGAATCATATAAAAATATGAATCATCAAGCACAGTTTATAGTCTTCACAGTAGAAACATTCAAATTAATGGAAGCTCATTCAAATGCTAATATTTAAGTGCAAAAGATACGTCAATTAAGAATTATTTCAATTGAAACCAACAATTATATTAATTGAAACGATTAATTGTTTCATTTATTAATAGTTCCACAATTGTTACGTTAGGAAAAACAAACCGTCTTCGTGAATAGATCATCGTGACATTTTGCATATCAAACGATCGGAACAGTGTTGAAACGAGCAATAACGTTGACTGAAACGATGATAAATAAGCCATTGATACGGGTAAATAAGCGATTTAGCGAAAGCGTATCGCGACCGGATCGAGTTTTGTATAATTTCAAGTGACAATATCGCTGTTCGATCGGAGATCTGTATCAAAGAGCAACACGTGCAGCGACGCGGATTAAATTTTCTCGAAACATCACATTGACAGGGATTCTCCGCGGTGAAAAATTGATTGCGATTAGAAGAGAGCACAGTGGTGAAACTTGCCGCGACTGCGAAGATACATACGCGTAAACGAGATTCATCCGGTGATACAAATCGCAATAGGAGAGCTACGAGTTATCGTAAAGAGGCTATGGGTTTTTGCCTTCTAGTAACCTGCCGAACTATTACGTTATTACGACCTGGGGGCCATTAATGGGGCCCATACTGTGCACGAAGGAATCACGTTACGCACGCATGCAGCCCGTGTCACCCGTCTGTGTGCACGCGCCTCTCTGCGCTTAGCGTACAGCGTGCAGTGTAGAGAAGCGTAGTAGTGCCGTAGAGAGGAACGCATGGAACTCACATCACGACTGCGTTTATTGCAGCATGCACGCAGCCCAGCCGGCCGGCCACCGTTCTGCGGAGGGAACAAACGGTTACACGAAATATAATACTTTCTGTACGTGCCATTCGAGCGAGCCACCGCATTTACAGCAGCCTTCGTGATACACGCCTTCGTTTCAACCGGAATACACCAAAACTTTTCCATCGAGACAAGTACAGCAGCAACACGTTCGACTCGACGCGACACGCCGACATTTCTTTCTTTTTCTACTGTGTAATAGAAACGCTCGCTACTCTTCTACGAGCGGATCTAATTTATTACCCGTGCGATTGCACCAAGCTATTGATAACGGAGCTGCGACAACTACGTCGCACTACGTACACGTTCGTTCATGCTTCTTATCTATCGTGCGCGTATTCGTCTCAACGGACCTGTTCTTTTTTTTTTTTTTTTTTTTTTTTTTTCTTCGATCACGTTCCCTTCATTTCGAGTCATTAAAGAGCGCGTTTTGTCACCGGCGACTCATCTGCACCTTTCTCCCTTCTGTCATGAATTAAGGAAACTAGTGTACTACGTGCAGTGAGTATCTGGACACTTTATTGATATTTGTGTAGAAAAAATATTGAAAACAATATACTATTATAAATTAATGACTAGACTGCGAATTTTTATGCGATTATAGAAAATTTAGAGACGAAAAAATATAGAGAAGTATTCGCACATAGTGTGTAAATATAAAATGTCAAAAGTAGAATAACAGGAGTGGAAAACTTCTACAAGATGTACCCCAAAAAATGTATACACACTTTATATCGCTATAAAATTAATTTGAGTTTGCCTAAAAACTCGGTTCACTCGAATCTAGGTTCCTTTTTTTCAATTCTGTTCACGAAAATACAAAATTGCATAAAAATATGCATTTAATGAGAAATTAACGACTGAAAATAATACTGATTACAAATAAGTGACGATAAAATATTGATTAAATAAAAATTTCTCAATTCATAATCCTACAAGTTTTATCCGTCCGTCTCACATAACATAGTTTGAAAATTAAAGACCCCAAAGATGAAATACTTTTTAAATACATATCAAAACTGAGTTTTTATTGTGTAAAAAATCAATGAAACTTTGTTGTAATACACAACACTATACACAACTACCAAATCTAACTGTCAATTATAAATTAAATTGTATTTTGTCAAATAAATGTACTTTCAAATATAATATATCAGCGTACATAACTGTTTTGGACAGGAAGACTGCTTCGCTTGAATATTAATCTATATACGATATCCTACATATACATATAACGTCGTGTATAATGTGTGCACGTACACGAAGAGAAGGCGAGCGGAAACAAAGAAATTAGTACATCCGTGTAAAGAAGAAAAATATTTCGCGGTTAAATATTTAAAAAAAAATTTGTATAAATAATACTAAATCAATATAAATGTCGTCGACAGAATTGAATATCAATTAGAATATCGATTAGAAAATGGGTTCAAGTTCAAGTTCGCGTCCCAAAATTTTTATAAAAATAAATTTTGGAGCGTTGTATTTTTATACGGTAACAATTCGCAACCCGAATCTAAAAAATAAAACGTAACTAGACATATTTATCATTTGTATAAATCGAAATTTTTGACATATTTCTATTAAATTAATATTGATTTATATAATCTGCTTGGATGCAAAACAGTAAGTTTTAATCGTCAAACATTATGCAATTGAATATAATGATTTACATATCGCAAATAATTCAGACATGTTACGTTTCCAACACATGTTTATTATCTTTCTCGATAAAAATGTTTTGTCGATACATGTCGAAAATTATCAGGGTATGCTCAAACAAATAAGCCACCTGTTATGTTTTGACTCCTAATCAGAACGTGCGATCTGTCTTTTCGTAGAATTTTCAATATTTTCGAGGATACATCATACATAAACATTCTGCAAATATCAGAAAAATCTTTTTCCTAACAGATACTAATAGAAATCTTCTATTAGTACGTTAAACAGTATCTTCTTCGAGCAATAACACTATGCAGGACAGATCTTGTACAAATACATAAATATGAAAGTATTATCAACTGACATAGTCACTGTAAAAACTGGAAAAATATTGTTCGCGTAACTACCACTGTCGGACATTAACCGATAATATAAACACTGTCTTCAAATGGAACCATCTAGTTACCGTCTGGACAGGTATTATAAACCAATCTTTATGATCATGGATAAACATAGACGATAAACATAGAAGAAAATGTGCTAATGCATAGCTATAATACACTCCTGCGACAAATGCTTTACAAATGCTTTCGATCACTCGGAAATTAACATGAAAATGTAGAGTAATTGCAGTTACTTTCGATACCCTATTTCCTCAACGAGGCGACGAATGCGTTCATCATTTTTCATTTTTAAATTGTATTCGTGTTTGATAGCTATGTGCAACGAAACACGTATCAAATTACCAAAGATTTTTCATATCGTTAATCTAAATTTCTCCTTTATTTCTCCAAGATAAGATCACAACCATGATAAAAAAAAAAAGATTTTTGACACAAAGTTTTTGTTTTTAACTTGTCTTCCATCCTTCGTTCAAGATCGAGATTGTGAGACATCTGTTTCATTATAATGAATTAAAGATCAAGATTACAAAAATAAAAAAGCGGTGAAAAAGAAGAATGATGGAAATTTATCCAGAAAATTCCGAAAAATGCATACAGTAGGCATGTAATTTTATTTTGTTTCTCGATGATTTAGAGTCATTTTGTGGAGTGTTTTAAACAATTGCTAGTAGCTCCAGTAGCTCCTTGCAATATTATTTTGTTTCTTCAATGATTTAAAACCTTTCCGTGGAATGTTTCAAACAATTATTTTTATATCTTACTTATAATTTTGCGATATTATTATGGTATTGAACTAATCGAATTTAGTTATTTGTTACATCTCTTCTCTATCTAATTCAGTTTACTGATTTTGTCAACTATCTTTTATTTTATTCGTTTCTTATTAAGTAATTTAACTAAATAAATAATTTTATTAAGTAATTTAAATATTCTTCTCTCTTTTTTATTAAGTAATTTTACACGTCCTTGTATCAAAAAATTTTTATCCCATATAAATGAATAATATTAAGATCTTTATCTCTTTCTATTATTTACACTTATACGCTTTGTTGCTCAAAAGTGTATATAAAATAAATATGTATACATGTCCTGCTGTATTCTTTGAATATTTCTTCTACCAAGTAAAATACTACATATTGCTTGTGTGGCATACGAAGTGAAAGAGACCTAAGTAACGTAAGAATAGTGCACACTTTATATTTGTGTTACTCATAACTATTTCCAATTACTCTCATATATGTATAATAAATCCTTCTGTCGTTCGTAAACGTATTTACTACGAATTGCACAGAGTCAAAGACGAAAGCAATCGCACGCGCGACTAGGAGTTAAAGAAAAAAGGGGGACGTGAAAACGAGAGGCAAAAGAGGAGATAGAATAAAGAAGCAAAATCAGCAACTCACATTGATCAAATATCTTAAGCATCGCTTTCTTCAGCTGCATAATCGTGCGCTGAGTGTGGCGAGACGCCTCGACGAAGTGGAACAATCAGGTTCATAAGACAGCGTGGTCGTCATGTAAGAATGAACGCCGGTCGTCTCGCACGCAACTCGTTCCCTTCGACAGAGTAGTCCATCCTCCGGACACGAAAACCGCGGTGTCCTTCAAGGAGCGACCGTGCGTCTCGTAGGACGCTCAGTCGTCCAGCAGCCCGCTGTTATTCGCCACGACCGCATCCTTGTTCCTCGATGCCTCGCGCTGCTTCCTCTTCTTTCCCCTTTGCCCCTTTCTTTACCGTTTGCCTCGTCGTGCGTTCCTCTCTGGAATCCCTGTCCGTCCTCGCCTCTCTCTCTTTCTCTCACTCTCTCACTCTCTCTCTCTCCGTTCCGCCCGTTTCCCGTTCCACGCGGAACACCGTCTATATACACATGCGTTACACGCTCTTTTCACCCACTGCCAGCGATTGGCGCGACTCGCTTCGAAAGTCAACGATATCGCGTGCGTGCACACGCTCGCTCTTCGGAACTTCGGGGAAACGTTCTCGTCGTCCTCCTCGTCACTTCCGCTGCGCTGGAATCCGCACGACGATGAATGAACTGGCTTGTGTTATAATCGCTCCCACGTAGCGAGCCGACCTCTCGGGGCAAATTTTCTTCGATAACGTGCCTCTTCCTCCACGTGTCACGAAGGCTGGACATGCACGGGAACTGGCCACCGTTTAACGACCGTTTAGCTGATAAACAATCAGGTAAATTAGTAATCACTGTTTGCTCGTACGCTGTTGGTGACGGTGCGCGATGGTCGGGTCCGACGTCGAAAACGAACGTCGCTCGTCGGAGACGACGTTCAATCGACCGGTTCACGAGTTGGGAGCCGACTGCCGCGCCTCCGATTCGCGACGTCGATCACTCTTTCATCTCGGAGGAAGATCGTTAATCGTAAAGAATGTTCAACGATCGATCAAACTGTTCGCTCGAAGACGTGGCACTAATTGTTAACACGGTAGGGGAAACGAAAGAGCAATCGGTCCTCGCGGACAGCGTTCGACGAATTCAACACCTTTCGAGCGCCGATTTTTCGCTGTCGATGAATTTATTGGACGGATCACTCTCGTCGGATTACGTTCGTACGCCAATTATCACGCGTGCACGGAACACGCGATGCAAATCGAAGCATCGATCGATCGTCCGAAGAGGAATTAGCACAGTGTTCTCTCTGCTCGATCGGCGAACAGCTGACTTTCAAACTTATCGCGCCCAACTTCTTTTCAACCGCGATCTCAAATGCTTATCCGACGTTCGACACGGAATATAGATGAGGAACGAGAGATTTACGAGCACTCTGTTTCCTGTCTCTCTTTGTTTTTTTTTTTTTTTTTCCAGCTATGCGAAACAAGAATACACGAGGCGCGTATGTCGTATCTTTGACGAGCCAAGTCTTCTCTTTTTCTTCGACAAGTTACGGACTTAACCTTAACAATTCGTTACGCGCACTGTTTCAATCGAAGAAAGCTCTTTGATCCCCCGCGATTTCAAAACTGCGATGCACAATATTTTTAACAATACTGAGTGTTTTTTTTTTTTCTTCTTCTTTCTTCGCTAGTCAAACTCGAAGACTCGTAGCGACAGAGCAACGTTATTCGGAGCACTTGCTGATCATGAACGGGCGCACATGGCGTACGTGGACACGACGGTGCACGCGCACACCTTGTTTACTTTCTCACTTTTATGTCACCAGACTCTGATCCCGATTCGGCCGTCGCCCGTTCTCTCCCGCCTCTCCACGATTTTCACTGCCTTACGAAACGCAGATTTTAACCTCTTACGCTGAAATGTACCACGCATGTCGAGAATTTTTTGTCCCAAACTGCAACATTTTCTCAGTTTTAAGTATATTTAAACGTAACAAACCCAGGCAAAACAAACGATAAGTTTATTACTTCTTAATAATTTCTGTCGAGTGATATCATACCCACGAGTTCAAAAGAAAAAGAAAGCGACGAATTATTGTATTCGGTCACTCGTTATGGTTCGCGAACCAGTTGCCAGCGCAAGAGGTTAAGGACGATGCACCGTGAATTTCAACATGCTTCAAACTCTTCTCATTGCGTGCTAGACTTGACACGTTTTCGACGGTGCAACGATACAATGCGTGCTCGCGGTTCGACGACAGATCAGGTTAGTTGAACTGCCGATCCTTTTTTTTTTTTTTTTTTTTTTTTTGAACTCTCGTACACTCGGGATGAAAATCGGACTTTGAACGCGCGCGACGAAAAAACGAATTACGAGTGCCAGTCGGAAACACAAATCGGACGTTGTACGATTGAGAAACAGAAAGCTTGATCGTTACTGACGGAGAACGTCGTTTCTTTTTCTTCGTTCTGTCTCTCTTTCGTTTGTGTTGCGAACAACGCGCGTGACGTGCGAATCGCACGTAATGCCTGCTGCGCGAGTTTAACCGCGACTGCCGGAGTCGAGGCGAATCGAGTCAGTCACGGTCTCGAGCGCCGAACAGATTAGAAAGAGAGGGACCGAGACAGAGAGAGAGGCGCAGACCACCGACAAGGACTGCGACGATTGGTTGGAAAGAGAAAGATGAGCACGATGAAAAGTGGGGAAGAGAGAGACAGCGACGATTGTGCCGAAACGATTGACAGAGACGGATCCAGCCGCCAATGGCGGTGAGGAGAGGAGGGGAGGGGGGTGGGGGGAGGGGAGGGGAGGCGAACGAAGAGAAAAGACGTAAGGAAGAGGAAGAGATCAAGGAAAATTTTATCGCGAGCGAGAGAAGAGAGGAAAAGAGATTTTGAAAGTTTACGGAAAACTGAGGGATTTCGAGGGAAAACGTGAATATAACGCAAAATCTAATATCATGTCGATAACGCTATGAAGTTGCAGCTACGCGTATTCTTCCATCTCTTTGTACACAAAAGCTCGAAAGAAGAGCATATGGAAGATCACGAGCGAAAACCTATTTGCCGCTATTTGTCACTTGATCGAATTAAATTAACATTTTGATTTATTGTTTCGATTTAGATGTTACGGGGCTGTTGAAGGGATCGCAAATACGACAATGTGTGCAAATACAACACGTCGATGAAGATTACGGGATGTATCAATTTGAAATCCCATTATCGGTGATAAACAAAGAGTAGATGATAAATAAAAAGCACGAGATTAACGATGACAGAAACTGGTAATTGTTTGAAGAAGTCGTTCAAGAAATTGTGAAGATTTTCGGAGGAATCGTCTCGACGTTTACGCAAATATCCAATGTCGCGTTTTATATGTATTCGCGGAAATTTGCCGCGTTCAAGCGCTACTCTACTATCCCACGCAGGGAAAATGTTCTCTGCGCGGAAACTTGATCAATTACAGCGATAATGCGAGCTTTCCGGTTGTAACAATCGAAAGCTTATTTCTCTTTGGAAATCCAGTTACCGGCAAAATGGCAAAGTGTGCTGGCGTCACCAAAGCGAAAGAGAATGATGGCTTCGAAGACGGGTGCCCAGATAAAAATTGTTATCTATTCGGTTGGCCGACGTGTTGTGCTTACATCGGCTTTCGTGTGATAACTGCGAGCACGTTCATCTACTATTTACATAAGTATATGAACGGCTGGTGAGAAACGAGAGAAATTGAAGGTAGAAAGCAGAAGACTATAGGCAGATAACATTTGGTTTTGTGATGAACGCGCTATTATAATAATATAAAAATTCAAGAGATTTCTTTTTTCTCAGTCACGTGAATCTGTCAAAACGAATAATCTTCGCTTTCGTCTTGATTCTTCACAACACGCTCAAAAAAAAATCGTACTCTCGACGGTGATACATTTCGTTCTTCGATACTTTTTTTTAAACGTATCACGAATGACCAACATCTCGAAGATGATCCTGCTTATCTTGTGAAATACGAAAGTCGAGATTGCGCGCGTGAGAAGTTGTATACACGCTTCGTATCAGAACAATTAAATTTGTTTGCCGCGCAACATTTCGTTACGTTACGATTGCATAAACGAAAATAAATTTTTTACAATGGGAAATATAATTTAAAGTCTGGTTGGTAAACTTCGCGCGATTAGAAATACAGATCTAACGATATCTAATTAAACTCGCTCGTGTAACGTTGGACAGTAATTTCGAAGCAATTGTAATAAATTCTATGAAATTAACGACTTAATGCGTCAATCGATTCGCACGTGGTTTCGCGTGCGTGCATGTCGTGCAAATGTAACAAATATCAGTTTCACAAGTAAATATTCTTTGTATTAAGAGACTTTTTTTTTTTTATTTTTTCATCTTCTTTCTTTCGTACATTCTAAATAAACTGTACTGCATTACGTGGGCGAATTATTAAACACTTACTTACGCCTGATAAAATAAACACGGCGGTGAATAAAGTTGAGAGTTTTCAATGAACTTTGCCTAACAATCTCGTCGAAATCGTAGGTCGAAATAACGTCAGAACGATTAGCCATTGTTAATGACTGTTTTCACGTCAGAGGAGCTGGAATATTTTTCTCTTTTCTCTGTTTCAACCGTTGGATTTGTTAAAACAAGATGCTAATAAATTCACAATTCGATTAATTTTTCTGGGTTGACGAACCGCGATAAAATTCACACGGTGAAATCAATTCGAGTTGGCCATTTTGAATATCGAAAATAATTTTAAGAATAAACTGATTTCACAAATATTTATCGAAAATATTGGCAATTACATACAATTCTTGAGGAAACGGAGTATAAAAATCATATATGCGTTATTTGCAGAAAGTGTTAGTTTCTGACTTCCGTTTTACTCGACAGAATGTATAATACATCGATGTTTCTTGCCCTAGAAAAACAAACTTTCTAAAAAATGAGAGTACGTACGCCAATTTACAAATGAACATGAAAGAAATTTGTCCTTTATGATGGAAATATTCCAATATTCTACTACCTAAATAAAAATTTTTACAAAACAGATTTCAGAATAATTACATTGTCAAATTGATATTTATAATTTGTAAAAATTATACCACAATCACGATATAATTTTCTTTTGACAAAATTACTATTTATAAAATTTTTATAATTTAAGTTGAACATCGAGATAAATATATAATAAATTTTTATGAATAAAAATGGAGATTTAACAACATTTGAATTTTTACATTGTTTGTAGATTTCACCGACAATACGAATAAAAGCAGTTATCGTTAAATGGTACACACAAAAAGAAAAAAAGGAAAATAAAAAAATTTGCACGAACTTTCAGAAGTTGTACGAGTGATTCAATGATTTCAAGTTCCACTCCCAAAATTCGTATTACCATAGACGTTTAAAAATTTTTCACTATACAAAAACTTAAATAAATAACAGAAGAAAATGAAAGTTCAATGTTCATATTATCTTGTACGCATCACGATCTAATATTTTTTACGTAATTTACACGATTAAAAAATTTCGTCTGGTTCGATACTTCGCTATTCGATACACATATATTTGCACTGTAGGAAAAGAGCAGATGTCAGTGTTAATTTTTTATGCAAAGCGAACTTTGCTAGTCATGATACAAAGAAAACATCTGAAACGTAGGATAGATCGAGACGACGAATTATATGAAGGAACGGACGAAGGAAAAGTGCGAAGAGAATTGCGATACCGTCCACGCACATGCACTTGTACGCCTTTATTCAAAGGATAAAGTAGAAAAAGAGATGAAGCAATAAAATAACCGTCGAAACGAAAGAGAGGTATAGCGAAGGACGGAGAGAGAAAGAAAAAGACTGATGGAGGGAGAGAGAGAGGAGGGGGGAGGGGGGGGGAAGAAGAAGGAGAAACGAAGAAAGAAAACAACAGCTAAGTTCTTGGCTGTTCCGTCACGTTTTCACGCGGTAAGCACACGATGCACGCGCGGCAGCGCGAGCGTAAGCGCAAGCGCGAACGCGGATGCGAGCGTGCGCGTATTACCAAGGGGTCTCAGTCGCGTACCTACACGACTCTTCTCGATTATGCAACGGAGAATGAGTTAGAGCCAGCCAATTCGAGCTATTGTATTGATGATATCGTTGTATTGTCGTTGATATACGTGGACACCGTGATACGGCGATCCCCTGTCTCCCTTTCCCTTTGTCCGTTTCGCTTTTTGTCAATGAAAACTTTCGTTTTCTCGCATTGGTATTTCAAACGCGATAACAGAGTTTAAATAAAGAGTTAAATGTCACGTTGCATGCAACGGGTTGTTAGAATGATGAGTCACTTTTTGATTTAATCGAATCGAAATTGTTGTTGATACACAGTATGCAGATGATTCTCACAGTTTCACGAGCATTCGTTAAGAATGATACATTGTAGAATCAATCATTAAGTTAACGTTAAGTTGAGAATGATACATTGTAGAATCAATGTGTCATTTTAATGTGTAAAATTGCACGAAATGCACACAACATGAAAAAATATATAAAACAGCCGAAGTATACATCGCTTTCTACATCACTTAACGCGTGAAATAATTTTCTACCGAGTTTTTTTAATTACATATTCTAGAAAATATAAATTTGCGCAAAAATGCGTAAAACGATCTCGTTATCATTAACCAGAGAAGCGTCATTGACCTTTTGCGCTGGAATGACGTGCTACGTACGTCGAGAATTTTTTTGTACCAAATTACAACATTTTCTCAATTTTAAGTATATTTAAATGTAACCCAGGCAAAACAAGTGATAAGTTTGTTACTTCTTAATTTCTATCCAGTGATATCATACCGACGAGTAGTTTAAACGAAAAAGAAAGCAAGAATTATTGTATACGATTCGGTCATTCTTTATGGTCCGCGCAACCAAGTTGTCAGCGCAAGGGGTTAAACGTTAATAAATAAGCGTAAAATTTCTTAATAAATACTCGT